CCTCTTGCTAAGTAGCCCCAGGCCCAGTGCTAGCAGCAGCCAGCCTAGATTCACAGCTTGGCTTCCCCTGGAAATCTCCAAGCCCAGCACAAGTAGCAGCCATCTCAGATTGCTTTATAACTCATGCAGAGTGGCCCCGGGGAGAACACAGGTTGGGGTTGACCTTGGGGTACATTACTCAGGAAACCCCAGAGCCTGTGCACCTAGTAGACAGCTACAGACCACATGAGAGCACCGTCACTCTGCCCCTGCACAGCTGATCCTCCATGGAGGGTGGAGGTTGGTTGTGAGCGGTCATAGCAAATCCTCACAGCTGATTGGCCTGGGTAAATCCCTCCCATTAACTTGCCAACAGCAATCAAGTCTCTACTACAAGAGGAGGGTGTACTGAGCCCACACAAAGAGCAAAACTCAAGTACCCAGCTTGGGTCATAGAGCAGACTGTGACACTGGACTTTACAGGACACTTACTACATTAGGCCATGTTACCACAACAAGGAGTCATAGCAGCTCTACCTAATACATAGAAACAAACACAGGGAGGCTGGCAAAATGAGGAGACAAACAAACATGGCCCAAATGAAAGAATAGATCAGAACTCCTGAAAAAGAGCTAAACAAAATGGAGATAAACAATCTATTAGATGCAGAGTTCAAAACAGTGGCTATAAGGATACTCAAGGAACTTAGTGAGGACCTCAGCATCATAAAAAAGAACCAATCAGAAACAAAAGATTCAGTAATTGAAATAAAGAAAAATTTACAGGAAAACAACAGTAGAGTGGATGAAGCAGAGAATTAAATCAATGATTTGAAACATAAAGAAGCAAAAAACATGCCCTGGCTGGTGTAGCTCAGTGGATTGAGCGTGGGCTGCGAACCAAAGTGTCGCAGGTTCGATTCCCAGCAGGGTACATGCCTGGGTTGCAGGCCATAAGCCCCAGCAACTGCACATTGATGTTTCTCTCTCTCTCTCTCTCTCTCTCTCTCTCTCTCTCTCTCTCTCTCTCCCCCTCCCTTCCCTCTCTAAAAAATGAAATAAATAAATAAATCTTTAAAAAAAAAAAGAAGCAAAAAACAACCAATCAGAACAAGAAGAAGAAAAAAGAATTAAAAAAAACATGGATATCATAAGCAGCCTCTGAACAACTTCAAGCATTCCAAAATTCACATCATAGGGGTGCCAGAAGGAAAAGACAAAGAGCAAGAAATTGGAAGTCTATTTGAAAAAATAATGAAGGAACATTTTCCTAATATGGTGAAGGAAATAGACATTCAAGTCTCAGAAGCACAGGGAATATCAACACCTTGATAAGAGGATCTATGTTTTCTTTCATCCCCACAATGCCTGGCACAATAACCAAAGAAGACATTTAATTTTATTTTTGTAAATATAATTTATATTTATATATTTATTATAAAATATAAAATAATTATTTGTATAGTTTGTTATTTTAGTGTTGAGGAGTACAATATTTTGATGCAGCAACCAAGAGGAAAATCGTGAGGAAACCTGGCAACTTAGGCTGATAGCATTTTCCTCTTCTGTAAAAATGTGAATACAGCAAACCTCTTTCATCATGAGACAACACCAGCTCAGTCTACAATGTCTGTGCAGAACCCTTGGGGCTCACAAAAAATAAACTAGCCTCAGACAATGGGCAGCTTGACCATAATTAAGTAGAGAAGCAGGTGATGCCACTCAGTCTAGGTTCCAAAATCTTTTTCAAGGGAAAAGCTAGTTATGGTTATTGAAAGGTCTTCCATTATCATTAGCATTGCTGACTTCACAAATGACAGTAACATTTGCTTTCTAATCTTAATTCATGCTAACTTTTAGCAAATATCACATGAAAGACAGAGAAGACCAACACATCTGAGCCATGGTGCATGCCCACAGCCAACAACAAAGGCAGCAAACTGATTCAAACTCATCTGGAAATCTAGAAGAGTTCATCTTGCTTTATCCTATGTGCAATCAAATATCAGAACACTAAATATTTCCTCCAGGTGAGGACAAACCAGATCAAATAAATGTATCTTGTTCTTATATAAGAACAAGGGAAAACACTATTTGTTTTTCTGGAGTGCACCGTTTTTATAAACAAGAATTCCTCTAATACTTCAAGTTCTCAAGGTGGAGTATAAGGTGAGCTTTATCATCAGAGTTAGCATTCCATGAAGGGCATATTGTCCATCTGTTGTAGAAAACACGTTGGTAGATACATTAAAACCCACGTACAAATGGAAAGCTTGAAAGCATCATTACACAGCTATTAATAGGAAGAAAAATATCCTTTGTTTACTCTGTACTCTTGCAAAATAGTATATGGAAGCGAATATATTCAATAAATATTAGATCACCCTCTATCATCATCAAAGAGCAGAGAAGCTACACCCTTTCCCAAAGGCACCTGACATTAAGCAACAGACCAGCTACAACAAACTCTGAATGTCTCGATGTAACAAGTGGGCCTGGCTTTTTCTAGTACTTGCAGAGAACCAGAGGAAAGCAGTGTAGAGGGGGCTGCTGACTAGATCAGAGCAAGCCACCTTCACCTTGGAAGCCTTCTCTAGAAGGCAGAATAAGTGAGAAACACCCAGACTCTCTGAGGATGAACTCACCTTTGGACACATGGTAACTCCTGTTATATAAGTGTTTTTGGCATTATGATGGATGATACAGTCATGATGGCCCACCTCCCCCCCAAAATGGCTACACAATGAGTGGGGATGATGTGGTTATACAGACTATTCTTTTCATATTTATTATCTTATTTAAATACTCAGAGAAACCTTATATGGAAGAAATTATTCCCATTTTACAGATAAACTAAACCGTAATGGGGTTTAATCACTTCTTTAAACTGAAACTCAAACTAAAGCCTCCCCCATGGTCTTGCCCTTTGTCATTCTGTCTCCTAGCTTTCTAGTCTTCTGAAAAGAGAGCACATTGTAAATATCCTTCCATTTCAGCTATAAGGACACAACAAGCTTTAAAAGAGACCAAGAGTTTGTCAATAGGATCTTCAGATTCCTCTGTTAAGCCAAATTCTTATAGCTGCCTGGGCAATGCTGAACCATATATAGATGTAACTACTTCACTGGCTTCTAAGCAAAATTAAATATTTACATATATAAAAATAGATAGAAAACATATCTGGAAATAGGTTTTCAAAAACATGGAATAGTAGTGATGAGAAAGAAGGGCAGGGCAGGGCAGGCAGGGAAGGGGTCTGGTACAATAGGAGAACTGCAGTGGAAAGATCCTGAAATAAAGGAGAAGCACCTTCAAGATTCAAAAAACAGTCTGTGAAGTGCCCTAGGCACTGCCTGCTTTTTACACAGAACTCTCAAATCCAGTCAAGGTACCACACACAGTCCTAATTGTCTCTCCATGGCTTATCATGTATGCGTTTGCTGTTACTCAAGTCTAGAGAAAATAAAGCAAGAAAATGCCTTTACATTGCTCTTTTCCTACTAACATACCTGGTTTGAGTCTAGCTGACCTATGTCAAGAGCTTAGTACTAGCAAGGTTCTGTTGTAATTGCTTTATGAGGACCATCCCACCTAATCCTCACAATACCCACTGTCATGACACATTGTGCAGATAAAGCCACAGAGCTGCCTGACTATTAGGTAAGTGCCAGGGCCAAGATCCCAGCAGTCTGGCTTGAAGCAGGCAGGACAATCAATCACTTTGGGAACCCATTCTCTAAGGTAACGGGTTAAGGTAAGATGCATTACTCAAATTACAGCATTGAGGACTGCAAAGGCTATTGCACAAAACACCACCAGAGGAAACACATGGACCAAATACCAAGAAAGTTAAATTATCTTCTGAAAGCATAGAGATAGGTCTCTAAGAACATGCTTAAAAAATCAGAAAAACTTCAACAAAACTGTTGAACTATTAAATTCTTGAATTTAGCAAGCATAAATAGCAGGCTTAAAATTTACTAGGCATAGTCATTTTCTAAGCTTTCCCCCAATATAAAAATATAGTAGGAATAGAGAAAATTACTTCTTTTTAAAAATCTCTCCCCATTTCACATTATAGTATCAATATTTATATAGTATACTTTTCATAACAAAAATTTAAAAGCTATGAATAAAAACAAATATAACTTCTCAAAATAATGTCAGTAAAACTGAAGAGATAGCTAAATGTTTCATGAAATGATCTCAGTAAGAAGACCTCAGGCCCCATGGAGAATGTGCTATAAACATACTTCCAGGGCAAACTACTGTAAAAACATTCTCTCATTCTCAACACACTTCACTTAGCCCAAGGAAACAATAAACCATTTCTCCTAAGAAAAGTTCAGCAGTGTTTCAAAAATGCCTTCCCTTTTCTTCCTCTTCATAAAAATCATGAGATCAAAAATCAATGAACTTCAAGCTCTAATTTCACATTTTTACATGCAAGAAATGCTCAAAGCCTCAACCTTGGGATTCACATATGTAAACACCTACCTCACTTAAGCTGTTTTCCATCTGGTACTGAATAGAAAAAAACATGATCAGAACATTTTTTAAAGGTTCAATGCAAATTTTTCTATTTTATTATTTTAATTACATGATTGATTATGGACTCTCCACACACCTTTCTTTGCTTATTTAAAATTATTTATTTGAAATTATTTTAAAATTGTTTAAAATTACTCTTAAAAATTCTACAGAACTGACAGGAAGAATACTAAATTGACATATTATTTCTTGGAACCCTGTCAGTGCTTCTAAGATAAGTAGCAAAAGCCTGTTTATTCTAAAACAGAGTGGGTGCCACTGGCCATCTCTGTAACTAGAATACATTTCTCACTTTTAGAGACACCATCTTTCTATATTAAATGAAGAAAAAATTCCCTTTTATGAAAATGAAAATGTGTTTTCTTCTCAAAAAAATAATAACATCTTTCCCATTTCCACATGACCCTGCCTCCTAACCATTTCAAAAACAACCAAACTTAGTGATACAAAGGTGAGTAGAAGGGACTTACAGTTGAAGATGCCTGGAGGTGGATGTTCAGTCACCAGGAGACAGTTTTCTTCATCACTGTTGTCCCCACAGTCGTTCTGTTGGTTACAGACCAGTGAACCAAGATACAAGCATTTACCACTGGTGCAGGTGAATTTGCACTCTGAAAAAGTACAGTGAAAAGTATGAAGTAGTCAATGTAAATTTGATACTCAATTTACTTTTTTCTTCCCCATTTGTGTTCCATAACAGTTTGGGAATTCAGTCTATCTGGAGATCCTGGAAACTGAACTCAGAAAAGGGCTATCTTGGTAAGAAACTTCTTTCTACAAAATGCATGAGACAGTGCCGCTGGAGCACGCTAGGGCTTGCCATACATTACTCACATCTCTAACCCACAAAATGAGTAACACCAGTGCTTTCTTTCCATGACCTGCTAGCAAAAGTCATAGCTATGAGGCTCTTACTTTCCATGAAAAAAACCCATGATGTTTTCCCATGCCTCCAGGGATGAAGAGCCTGTGCGGCAGCAGCTGGGGCTATAGCAGAACTTGGGAGCTGAGGTTTTACAAATGGAGGTACATACACTTTATTGCTAACTTGTCACTATATGTTGTGAACCTCTGAGCAAAAAATTTAACCTCTCTGGTGTTCATTCATCTCTTGCCTAAGAAAACCAGATTTAATGCCAGGCAGAGGTAGCACTAACTTTATAACCTCAGATGTGGGAAAATAGTGTGTGCTCTTGGCTACCTAAGAAGCATCTATGCCAAGGGCCATGTGAGTGACTTTTAAAGAGTAGGATGGAGCCCAACCCAAATCCTTGTAGGCCACATTGAACATGGGCTCCCTGAACTGTGTACAAATGAATATTTGAAAATGGAATTTATGCCCTGGCTGGCATAGCTCAGTGGATTGAGCGCAGGCTGCGAACCAAAGTGTCGCAGGTTCAATTCCCAGTCAGGGTACATGCCTGGGTTGCAGGCCATGACCCCCAGCAACCACACATTGATGTTTCTCTCTCTCTCTCTCCCTCCCTTCCCTCTCTAAAAATAAATAAATAAAATATTTTTTAAAAAAGAAAGAAAATGGAATTTACTTTTTAAGACTTTAAATCTGTAAACTTACACATCACTATCAATTTACACAATTACATACACACAGGCACATAAACATTATATATATCTTACATTGACTATCTGTGAATTTTTTCCTAGCAGTATCCATAGAAGCTGGCAGGATTCACATAGTTCTAACCCAGTGGACAATCAGTAGAACAAAAACTCAGGAAAAGCATCCCAGGACCCCTGACTTCCAACACACACACTGATGCTGACTATCACAGCCTCTTCATTCCTCCTCAATTTTATCTGTGTAGAATATGGATGGCAGGCCTGGATCAAGTTCAAGGTTCTTTTGACTTTAAAATTCTGTTATTCAAATAAAGACTGGCATTCAGCACACAAAGTCCTCCTTCAGCTATACTAAATATACATGGGGCTGCAGAGAGAATAACCTGTTATAAAGAGACAAAACTTAAATCCTCAAAAGTATTTACTTCTGTAACCCAGTATGAAAGAAGATTGCAATTCTCCACTTGTTCACATTCTCTAAAAGACTATAGAAAAAGACACCAACCACAGTCCCTGACCTACTTTAGAATAACCTGTGAACACAGACCAAATGCACAAGCAACGCATTTGTTGCTAGCTGTACTGTTCAGGTTTAAAAAATCTCTGCATTGAGTGTTATCCAGGCCATGTGGTAGGAGCACTGCTGAAACCGAACTCTTTCTTCCCATAAAGTAAAAAGATTACAACCCAAGCTGTTTGAAATCACATTTATAAAGTGCCTTTTTTTAAAAGAAAAAATTATTAATTGATTTTAAAGAGAAAGGAAATGAGAGGGAGAGTTGGGGGCAGGGTGGGGGAGAGAGACTGAGAGAGAGACACACACATCAATTCATTGTTCCACTTTTTAAAAATATTTTATTTCTTTATTTTTAGAGAGAAGGGAAGGGAGAGAGAGAGACATCAGTGTGTGGTTGCCTCTCACACACCCTGTACCAGGGTCCTGGCCTGCAACCCAGGCATGTGTCATGACCAGGAATCAAACTGGTGACCCTTTGGTTTGCAGGCTGGCACTCAATCCACTGAGCCACACCAGTCAGGGCTGTTGTTCCACTTTTTAATGCATTTATGGGTCGACTCTTATATGTGCCCTGACCAGGAACTGAACATGCAACCTTGGCATATCAGGATGATATTCTAACCAACTGAGCTCTTCAGCTAAAGCCTGAAGTGACTTTTTAAGAAACTTAATGGAAAAAAATAATGTCAAGTAAAGGATTTCTCTTCCTTTCAAGCAGAAATACTGGAGTTCAAATACACCAAATATAAAAAGGACATTAAGTCAAAAACAGGTACTCCTGAAGTTGAATGCTGATTAGAAAAAAGGGAATACTAACTTATATTAAATCAAGCTCCAACTAAAAAGATTACCCATTGCTGTGGTTTGAAAGGACCTCACATTAGACTACCATGTTCAAGTTCATGTGGTAGTTTAAACCAGCAGGGAAATTAAACCACATCCACATTTACTCATTTCAACTTGTTCAAGAGAGAACCAGTCTAGAGTAACAAACTATTTTCAAGGAAATAAATTGTGAGATTCATTCATTCTTATAACCAGTATTTTAGATCTTTCTATATGTTATGTGCCAGGTAGTGAGAAATAGAAACATGAAGATGAAAGAGCAACTCCTCTTCAAAGGGCTTACAATATGATTTTTTTTAAATGTGAGTAGTGACTAATATATTTGCTAACTCCTCCCAAGGACTAATTTTCCTTCTTTACATCCTTCACATCTAGACTGCTGCCTCGCAGGTAACAGGCACTTTGTGAATCACATATTTGTTGAATAAATGAATGAAAATGAATGATCTAATCTGAGCCTCATAAGAACCCTGTAGATATTCTTATTTCCATTTTACAGATGAGGATATTAAGATGCAAAGATTAAGTAATTACTCATAACTAAACTGATAATAAATGGCAAAATCCAGATAAGAGTCCAAATTCTCTGCCTCTCATCTCAGGCTCTCCCATTGTTTCCTCTCAGTTTCCAAGGCTGCTTTAAAAAATGTATAAGAATCAGTTGTAATGAGGATGAACATTAACTTAACAAAGTTCTCAAAATAGCTTGCATTTTGTACATAGGCTTACTGCATTCAGGACACATTAACAAGGCTTATGCTACTGATTTGCTCAGAAGTCTCTTACTCCTTAGATAATGGAAATATCAACATCAATCCATTGAATTTTAAATTCCTAAAATCTAAGTCTTCTTAACCACAATTAGCTGAATATCAAACTAAAGGTCTCTTCAACACATGGCCCTTTGTACCAAATCTACTGGATTGAAATTTTGAATCTATCAACTTCTTGATGTGATATAGAAAATTGCTATAAATTAAGTTTTGAAGATTAATGCTAAAGCTGGAATAAAATTTCAGACCACAGTAAAATATGTTTCCAAGTTAACATAACTGGTATTGATAGAGGCAGTCTTCCAACTCAATCCTGACTCACCCTACAAGGCAATCTCTACCATATTTCACTATCCAAAACCCCAGTACATTAGGTGATAGTCCTCTAATATCTAGGTTATTGTGATATTTCAAACAAAGAACCCTAATGAGAGGGTCTAATTGTGTCTTCATACTGGAATCACCTAGGCATCTTTCAACACTATTGATATCTGAGCTCCAGCCCAGACCACTGCTCTCAGTAGACTGAAGTGAGGACTGGGCAGTGGGGATTTGTAGAGATGCTTATAATGATTCTGATGGGGAACCAACATGGAGAACCACTGCCTAGTGAGAACTATATAACTCACTTGCATTAAGCCCTGTCTTTAGCTGATAGTATTTTATTGGAATATTTAGAAAGTATTTGCTAGTTTATTAAAAAACAAAATAGAAACTAAAAAATAATCTCTTAAAATAGGCTAGGATTTTGATGATTACTGGATACAGGACCTGGTTGCTACAGCTCTATACTGTCTTCAAGATATTTCAAAGACTTTGGGACCTCAAAACGATATTTTGACACACCAAAGCTAGGAAACATCCTCAATGAAGTAAAGCACAAGTCAGAGAAAGAAGACAGACGAATAAAAAATGTTTTCTTATTTTATTTTATCCATTATTTGCTGAGTATTTCTGCCAAGGCAAAGGTTGAAGGACATTATGGCTACAAATTCATAGTGATTTCAGATGTATAATATTGGAATGAAATATAGAATGAAATCAGGAACCAGTTTTTCTTTCAAGAGGAATAGATTTAATTTTTAAAATTATAATATTTAAATAACTCCTCTTCTGTAAAGTTGAGACTTTTAAAATGAAGATGGCATTCCTTTCTACCATAATTCTCTATGTAATATTTTATGAAAAAATATCTAGAATCAACAATAGATTATAGAATCACTTTATATACTCTTAGTAATAAAGAATTTTCTCCAAATTTGAGGTCTTCTTCAAGTCAGTGATGAATTTCAGTGACTTTGAATTGATATAGATTCATAAAATTCTAATGCTTAAAGGACTCTAGAGAAAAAGCAGTCCAACCTATCATATCACAGATGAGGCAATAGTCCAGAGGGAATAACTAAGTTACCCAAAGTCAAAAAACAAATTCCCTGCAATGGATCATAAAACCCAATATATCTACCAAATTGGGAGAAAAAAAGTCTTTTTGTCCTAAACGTCATTCTATTTATGTACAGACTGAGATTAACCAATTGGAGTAAACTATGTTTGAGAGGGAAAAGGAAAAGGAGGATTAAGAGTAAGGAACTGTCCTAATATTTTGTTACTTTTTAAAGCAATATTAACAGTTCTGAAACCAAGAAAAATGTAATATTGTAGGGTATTCCATGAGTTCAAAACTTTTATACAAAAAAACTGCATAAAAATTTTAAGGACTGGTAGCTTAACAATTTGAATATTCTAAACCTAAATTTGGACACGCTATCAAAAGTTTAATGCTCAGCCCTGGCTGGCATAGCTCAGTGGATTGAGCGCAGGCTGCGAACCAAAGTGTCACAGATTCGATTCCCAGTCAGGCCACGTACCTGGGTTGCAGGACATGACCCCCAGCAACCGCATATTGATGTTTCTCTCTCTCTCTCTATCTCCCTCCCTTTCCTCTCTAAAATAAATAAATAAATAAATAAAATCTTAAAAAAAAAGATTAATGCTCAATCTTGACTTCCAGGAGAACAAATCTGTATCTCAGAGACCAAAGTGAATCCACTTGGTAGGACCAGCATTTTATTAGTTAGAAGGCAATAAAAACTACTTGAAAGTTGTTAAAAGAGTAGATATTAAACATTCTCACAACAAAAAAATAGTAATTAGGTGCCATGAGGCAGGTTTTAGCTAATGTTATGGTAGATATCATTTTGTAATGTGTCAGTGTACCAAATCAACACATATACCTTAAACTTACACAATGCTATATGTCAATTATATTGAAATAAATCTGGGAAGGGGAGCCAACAAACAGTTGTTCTCAATTTTTCCTACACTCTTTTGAAAGCCTAGTTTTCACAGATATGATCTCAGTCACAAAATAAAGACATATATGGAGTATTATATCACAACTGTAAAAGCTGTCTTGTGTGTGTGTGTGTGCATGTGTATGTGTGAGAACTGGCAAAGTAGTCTACCATAGCTATTTTTGTTAAAATTCATTTAGCAACACTGACTCATTCAGTTCACACTTCTATCATTCACAAACTTGAAAAGTGAAATTCTCTCTTCAACATTTCTTACTTGAAATCTGGAACCTGCTCTCAGTAATCTTAAATTGTAAATAATAAGGAAATTAAACTTAGCCTTTAACAACCTGTAAGTAAACAATTAATAGATTTATAAAATTAAGATAAATAATTTTACTATAATCAATGTAAGCTTACATTTCCTAGTGTAGAGATGATAGCAATGGTTTCATTGATACACATGTATTGCCTACTTGCCTGCAAGGTACCAGATTATCTATTATAAAAGTAAAGTTCAATAAAAATGGAGAACTGATTAAAACACCAATACCATGAATCTAGAAATGCAGGGGAAATAAGAAAAACTTTGTGACTGAAAAGAGTTCTAATAACTGGTCACTAAACTAAACTCCAAGCATATGAGCTGCCACAGACACAAGGAGACCTGAAGCTTGGTGGTGAGGCCTCACTGGTCCATGGGAGCAGGCATTTCAATTAATCAGATACAGACTTTCTCTTGATCCTCAGAATTGAGAGAATCTGTCTCTCTTTTTATTAAAGGGTGCAGTACAATAATATGGAAATTATATTAGATACACATTTTTTAAAAAGGAAAAGGGCTTCCCATATTATTTTCTTTATCAGCCTGCAGTGATGTTGGAATACTAGAGTAGTTTCTACAAAGAGAGCCAAAATTACAGCATCCAGAAAGAAGTGATTCAGCAAATTATGAAGATAAAATTTTGAGGATCTTCAGAAATTAAAAATTAATCCTTAAAGTTATTCTCACATGCCAGCTTTTGACAACATGTAAAGTTATTCTCACATGCCAGCATAAGGATGATATATGTACATTCCCTTAAAAATTTTTTCAATGTAAAAAATACATTTTGGGTCACCTGTAAAAGACTTAATATCTTACATTTTATCAACATTGGTCTCCTGAGAAACTTGAGGAATGATCTGCAGAAGCCGTGTGTGCTCCACTTAACATCACAGAGCGATCTGCATGATACACTGAGAGTCACATTTAAAGACACTGCATTACTAATGACGCTCTTCCTTCACTCGAACAGGAGGCTAATTTTCCTGGTCATAAATTTGAAACAAAGGAGAATTTAATTTGAAGGTTTATATTGTGTGCAATGAATTAAGTTCACCCATAATCAAGGTCATATCTGAAATGGTGCTATGAAAGAATACTTGTCCTTCAGAAAGATAAGTATGATGTGATAAAAGAGTATTTTCCCATAAGATTAACATAGAAGAGCCTTTCACTGAAGACAGTAAAAATTTTTTTAACTCAATCTATTTTGTGATATGGCTTATTGATCCCACTGTGGTGCTGATTTGGATTCTGAAAAGATTTTAATGTGTCTGAAATTCCCTATAAGTGAAAAACGTGTTCTCCAAAATTCAAGTTGCTTTCAGATTTTATTTACTTATTGTTTTAACTCTTATTTTATTGTTGTTTAAGGAACATGCTTTCAGATTTTAGACTTCTAATGTTAAAATTACCCTTTACAGGAGTTTAAGAAACTACTCAACTTTAATCAAAATACCATCAGGCATTTTAAAAGTCAGTCAAAGAGAGCAAAATAGAACCAGGGACACGGAAATAAAGAACAGACAGTGACCAGAGGGGAGGGGGAAGCAGGGTAATGGGGGAAAGAAGGGGAAGGGTCAAGTCAGGAAACATGTATAGAGGGCTCATGGGCAGGGACAATGGGAGGGGTGATTGAATGTAAGAGGTGAGGGTGGGTAGGGCAGGGGAGAGTAATGGGAGAAAATAAGGAAAACTGCAATTGAATAACAATAAAATAAAATTTTTAAAAAGTCAAGTCCTTTTGGACTTGAGTTAGACAATAGCATTGTTTCTTTACTATGTTTAAAAGCAATGAATGAGTAAATTTAAAAATGTTTTTACTGTATTTTCCCATTACCGTGTATCCCCCTTATACCCTTTCTACCTCCACCCACCACTCTTTCCCCTGCAATCAACACACTTTTGTCCATGCCCATGAGTCCTTTTTCTTTTTTGCTTGATCTCTCTACCCCCTGACTATGCCTCCACCCCCAGAGCTGTCAGCCTGCTCTGTATCGATGAATATCTCTATTTTGCTTATTAGTTCAGTTTGTTCATTAGATTCCACATATGAGTAAAATCATGTGGTATTTATCTTTCTCTACTTGCTTATTTCACTTAGTATAACATTCTCCAGGTCTATCCATGATGTCTCAAGTAAAATCTTCCTTTTTATGGCCAAGTAGTATTCCATAGTATACGAGTATATCAAGATAGGTTTGCCCTGGCCAGGTTGCTCAGTTGGTTGGAGCATCAGTCTCATGTAGCAGAAGGTTGTGGGTTCGATTACTTGTCAGGACATGTACAGGAGGCAAGCAATCTATGTTTCTCTCTCAAATCAATATTTCTTTCTCTCTCTCTCCCCCCTCCCCACTTCTTCTCTCTAAGCATACCCTTGAGAGGATTAAAAAAAAGGTGTATAGGGGTGTGTGTGTGTGTATGTGTGTACAGAAAGATAGATAGATCCTACTGGTTTTGTTCTCCAGGGAACCCTAATTGATACAGTTATCAAATGCCTGGACATTTCTATGGCTTCTCATTAATAACTTTTTTCCTTTATTAACTTTTTTCTTTTTCTTTTTTTTCATCATCAAATAATTTATTTGGAATCAGAATTAAAGAACATCTGACAGCTGTTGAAATGTATGTTTATTCCAGTACTTCTGATCACTTGCACAACTTATCAAGTGAAAATTACCAGATAAATTTTACATTTCTTCAGGACTAGGGTTTATCGATGACTTCGAATTTGGGATCTTCAAATTTGAAGTCAGGGAATGCATTCATGTCTGCTTTACCAAACATCTGCTTAAGCTTAAACAGCTCCCGCTCCAAGTCCTGCTGGTACTCTGGGCCAGTGTCAACGGGTCCTCCAGACGACTGTCGCTTAGTTTTGTATTCTCTAATCTTGTCCACAAAGAGTTTCTGTACAGGATCAAGCTCCTTAAATGCCACTGCTGTCACGCCAATATTCCTCCTCAGATAGACTGAGATCGCAGACTGAATGGCCAAGGAGAACCTGAAGAACCTCTGAAGAATCATGGTGATTCTGTGACTTGCACTCAGTCCAGAGCTGCCAGAGCCACCACCGCCGCCCACTTTTTTTATTTTTCAATTACAGCTGACATACAATATTATATCATCAGTTTTAGGTGTACAAAATACTAATTAGACATTTATGAGGGGGACCCCCCCAAAAAGGGAATTATCTTCTGGAGGGCAGGCCCCTTGTAGTACAGGCTTCCTCCACTAGGAGAGTGTTCTAGAAACTCATCTATATCAATGTATCAGCTGGCATTGTTGTAAGAAGCTGCATTCAGATTCAGTGAATTTTTTTTAAGATTCTCTCAACAAGTTTGCCCATTTCACGATGGGTGGTTTATGAGTGCACCTGCCAACACCGCATTAAGCGTTCATCAGTTTTTGACCAAAAACAGCATGACCCCTGAGCCCCACCCTCCTTGTTCACCCAAACTCACCTTGAGTGACATTTCTGTTTCCCCAGATGAAAAATGTCCTCAAAGGGAAATGTTATGCCAATGTGGAAGAGGTGAAACAAAAAACGGTAGAAGCACTAAAATGCATCAAAACTGATGAGTTCAAAATCGGTTCTGAGCAGTAGAAAAAATATCTCCACAGGCGTATTGCATCAAATGGGGAGTATTCTGAAGGTGACTGAAGTTTAAATAGGTAAGAATAAATACACAATTTTTGTAAATAAATTCCATTTTTGGTATGACCCTCATATATAACTTCCAAAATGAACACCTCAATAAGTCTAGTACTTATATGAAACCATACAAAGATATTCCAATATTATAGACTATATTCCCTAGGCTGTAATTTGCATCCATGTAACTGTTTTTGTATCTTGCAATTTGTACATCTTAATCACTTCCCTTTTTTCAGCCATCTTCACAATTCTCCCACCCACCTGACAACCATCAATTTGTTTTCTGTACCTATGTGATTGTCTTTTGTTCATTTATTTTTTTAGATTCCACGTATAAGTAAAAAATATATAGTATCTTTCTTTCTATGTTTGGCTTTTTCACTTAGCATAATACCCTCTAGGTCCATTCATGTTGGCAGATGGCAAGATTTCATTCTTTTATATGGCTGAGTCATATTCATATTCCACTGTATATATGTATGACATCTTTTTATCCATTTGTCAATTGTGGACACTTAGGTTGTTTCCACATCTTGGTTATGTAAGTAAATAATGTTACAAGGAAAATAAGGTGTGTATATCTATTTGAATTGGTGTTTGGGATTTCTTCGGATAAATACTCAGAAGTAGAATTGCTGGGTCATATGGTAGCCCCTTCTTAATTTTTTTTTGTTGTTGTTGAGGAACCTCCATTCTGTTTTCCATATTGGCTTTACCAACATACAGTCCCACCAACAGTACATGAGGTTCCCTTTTTTCCATGTTCTTGACAACAATTGTTTTTCATTGATTTATTGATGATAGCCATTCTGACAAATGTGAGCTGATATCTCTTCGTGGTTTAAATTTGCATTTTCCTGATGATTAGTGATGTTTAACAAGTTATCATACATGTATTGGCCATATGTATGTCTTCTTTGGAGATATGTCTATTCAGGCCCTTAATATCAAAATATTTTTTGATATTAAGATGTATGAGTTTGCTATATATTTTGAATATTAAACCCTTATCTGGTGTATAATTAGCAAATATATTTTCCCACTCAATAGACTTTTTGTTTTTCTTGATGGTTATCTTTGCTATGCAAAAACTTTTTAGTATAGTCCCATTTATTTATTTTTTCTTTTGTTTCCCTTGACTAAGGATGTCAGAAAAAAGTATTACTAAGAGCAATGTTAGATCACTGTCCATGTTTTCTTCTAGGAGTTTTATGGTTTTGGGTCTTCAATTTATGCCTTCAATCCATTTTTTAATTTATTCTTGTATATAGTGTAAGAAAGTGATCCAGTTTTACACTTTTGCATGTGTCTGTCCAATTTTACCAACATTTACTGCAGAGAATGTTTTTACCCCATTGAATATTCTTACCTCTAAGTCAAAGATTAATACCATGTAGGCATGGAATTATTTCTGGGCTTTCTATTCTGTTCCATTGATCAATGTGTCTCTTTTTATGGCAATACAATGCTGTTTTGATTACTGTAGCTTTGTACAATTTAATATCAGGTTGTATGATACCTCCAACTTTGCCCTTTCTCAAGATTGCTGTGGCTATTCAGGGTCTTTTGTGGTTCCATATAAATTTTTGTATTAATTGTTCTAACTCTGTGAAAAATGTCATTGGTATTTTGATAGAAAGTGCATTGAATCTATAGATTGCTTTGGGTAATATGAAATTTTAACTATATTAATTATGCTTATCCTTGAGCATGGTATATCCTTCCATTTATTTGTGTGTCTTCAATGTATTATAGTTTTCTGAGTATAGGTCTTTAACCTCCTTGGTTACATTTATTCCTAGGTATCTTCTTGTTTTCCATGAAAATACAATGTTTTTACATTTCTCTTTCTGATAGTTCATTACTATTGTATAAAAGTCCAACTGAATTTTGAATGTTTACTTTGTATCCTGCTACTTTACTAAGTTAATTTATCAATTCTAGTAATTTTTTGGTAGAATCTTTTGGGTTCTCAATATATAGTCCCATGTCAGTTTTACTTCTTCCTTTCCATTTTATCAATAGATGCCTTTTATTTCTTCTTGTTGATTATTGTGGCTAGGACTTCCAATGCCATGTTTTTTATTGAATTTATTGGGGTGACATTGGTTTGCAAAACCATACAAGTTTCAAGGGTACAACTAAATAAATAATCTGCACACTGCATTGTGCATCCATCACTTAAAGCCTGTTTCCCCCACCTTTGCCCATCTCCACCTATCCCCATCCCCTTTCCCTCTAGCTACCACCAGACTGCTGTCTGTGTATATTAATATCTATTAGATACATATATTTCCTTACATATTAGATATATGTAAGCAATATATATCAATATCTATTAGATATATATTAGATATATATATTTGCTTAATCCCTTCACTTTTCATCCAGCCCCCAAACTCCCTCAATCTGACAGCTGTCAGTCTTCCATGTATCCATGCCTCTGCTTCTATTTTGTTCATTGGTTCATTTTGTTCATTTTATTCCACATATATGTGAGATTTTATGGTATTTGACTTTCTCTGACTGGCTTATTTCACTTAGCATAATAATCTCTTGGGCATCCCCTGCTGTCCAAAAGGTAAGATATCCATTTTTATGACCAAGTAGTATTTCATTGTGTAAATGTAACACAGCTTTTTAATCCACTCATCTACTGATGGGCACTTGGGTTGTTTCCAGATATTGGCTATTATAAGTTATGCTGCAATGAACATAGAGGTGCATATATTTTTTCAAATTGGTGTTTCAGGTTTCTTAGGATATATTCCCAGAATTGGGATCACTGAGTCATAAAGCAGTTCCATTTTTAGTTTTTTGAGAAAATGCTATACTGTTTTCCACAATCTGCATTACCACCAATAGTGCACAAGGATTCCCTTTTCTCTACACCGCCAACACGTTGTTGGCGAAGATATAGAGACAGGTATGAGGTGATATCTCATTGTGATTTTAATTTGCGTCTCTCTGATGATTAGTAACAATGAGCATTTGTCATATGTCTGTTGACTATCTGTATGTCCTCTTTAAAGAAGTGTCTATTTTGATCCTTTGCCCATTTTATAATTGGATCATCTGTCTTTCTGGTATTGGGTTGTGTAAGTTCTTTTAATATTTTGGAAAATAACCCCTTGTTAGATGTATTGTTGGCACTTACGTTCTCCCATTCGGTAGGTTCCCTTTTCATTTTGTTGATGGATTATTTTGCTGTGTAAAAGCTCAATACTATGTTGAACAGGAATGGTGAAACTATCCCATTCTTGATCTTTCAAAAAAAACACTATTAGCTTTTCCCCATTTAGTATGGTGCCAGCTGTGAGTTCGTCATATATGGCCATTATTATGTTGACATACATTCTTATCCCCACTTTGTTGACAGTTTTTTCATAAATGGATAATGGATTTTGTCAAATGTTTTTCCTACATCTATTGATACGATCACATGATTTTTATCCTTCCTTTTATTTATGTGGTACATTATGTTAATTGATATGCAGATAATGAACCAGCTTTGCAATAATAAATGAATTGTTGTATATTATCTTTTCATGTCTTGTTGAATTTTCATGTATTTCATGTATTGATCAATTTGGTATACCAAGATTTTTTTTGAGAATTTTTGCATCTACATTCATCAAGAAAACACACACACACACACACACACACACACACACACACACACACATCTTTTTGTAGCATCTCTGTCTGGTTTTGGTATCAGAGTAATGCTTCTACTGTCCTCATAAAATGAATTTGGGAGCCTTTCCCCCTCTTCAGTTTTTGGAGCTTGTTTGAGAAGTATAGGTATTAATTTCTTTGAGTATTTGGTAAAATTCACCTATGTAGCCATACAATCTAATGCATTAACTTGGGAATTTTTTGAAAACTGATTTGATTTTCTTAGCACTTAACACTCTGTTCATATTTTCCATTTCTTCCTGACTCTGCCTCTGAGGATTGTATGATTCTAGGAATTTATTCATTTCTTTCACACTGTCCAATTTTTGGCATAGAGTTGTTCATAGTATTTCCTTATATTTCTTTGTATTTCTGTGCTGTCAGTTCTCCTTCCATTTCTGATTTAATGTACTTGAGTGCTCTCTTTTATATTGATTAGCCTGACTAAAGGTTTATCAATTTTATGTTATCTTTTCAAAGAACCAACTCTTGGTTACACTGATCATTTCTATTGGTTTTTCAGGCTCTATTATGTTTATTTCCATTCTGATCTTCATTATTTCTGTCCTTCTACTCACTTTGGGCTTGCTGTTTTTCTAGTTCTTTTAGGTATAAGATTAAATTGTTTGTTTGAGATAGGCCTGTATTGCTATCAATTCCTTAATAGGACTACTCTGGCTCTGTCCATTAA